GAAAATTTACAGATGCCACTCCAAATATTAAAGGTATGCTGGCGCCATTACCAAAGGACTGTAAAAGAAAACACCTCTCAGATGTTGCAAAAAAGTTGAAAAACAATCCACTGGACTTTGTTTCCATGTTTGAAGACATTTCCCTTCCCATCCAGGAAGCTTTTTCAATTCAAAATGTCAGAATTAGCGGTGAGATCCAAGCTTTATAAAGTATCCCAAACAAAGCCTTGTTTTGGCTTAGAAAACATGCAAATTGAACCGGAAGAATGGGTCCGCCCCTTAGTAATGGGGAATCGTTGAGATCCCTTTGGACATTTTATGCAAAACCTTATCTATTGTCTCTCATGTGCAATATTCTTCTCTCTCACTGTTTAATAACACATGCCAACTACTGTATAGCCTGTGTAATATTTTACTTATACTTTTAGGTCAGAGTATCTCTGAAGTACAAGTGCAATAATCCAATTCAACTACTGCGTGATCTTTCTTTTAGCCGTCTACTGTGCAGATATTTTTATATCTAAGGAAAACCTATTCCAGGACTTTACAACTTTTTTCTTTTCTTATACTTTTTTTTGTACTATATACCATCTTTGTATATTATCTTTGTACTCTATATAAGCTACTGAAACCAGAATTTCCCTCAAGGAGTATTCCCAAGGGATAAATAAAGTTGAATCTAAGTCTTGTGGCAGGTAGCCAAAGTAAAGCCTGTCCTTTCACAACAGCATTTTGAAACAGGGGTCCATGCCACAGTATCGGTGATTCATGTATTTCCCAGCTTCAGAGAGTACAGAATGCAGCTGCACGTCTCTTACAGGTACGAATAAATATGATCATATTTCCTCTATTTTAGCCTGTTTAATTTGGCTGCTATTATATTTTAGGATTCATTTTAGAATTATTTGCTTTTAAAACTCTAAAGGGCTGTGTCCCACCTTACCTGTCCAAGCGGCTACATGCCTACTCGCCCTTTCAGCTGATCAGTTGTTACTGAAGGTGACAAAGACAAAAAATAAGCGAAGAAGGGGACCATGCTTTTTCTTTTGCAGTTAGCTTTGGAATGACCTTCCCTTGGTCACTAGACAGGCCTCTTCACTTTTGATTTGATTTCTTTTCCTTGACTTTTGACACAATCTAAGATGTTGACTTTGTCTTACTGTGTTTCTTTTTATTATTCTATTACTGCTTTTTATTTTATGGCTACTTTTATGTAATACTTTATTGTTTTATCATTGACTATCTCTATCTTTTGATTGTGTATAGCATTTTGGTCATCTTGGGTGTTGAAAGTGCTTTATAAATAAATTTGGTATGGCATAGTATGGTAATATAACTGCCAACCTTCTCCACTAGTCACTCCAAGAGATTGTTTGGCAACTTGGAGTTAGGTGCCCAGAGAGAGCTGCAACTAAATCAAAAACTATGAAATATAAAAGCAGTTTCTCGTCTCATGATCATTAGTTCCCTGAACTTACTATAATCTCAACAGATTAGCACAGTTGTCAAATCCCAGTTCTTGGAGGCCAGTTATACTGTATATTTAGGTTGTGTTTCTTCCTTAGTGTCTCTAAATCGAATAATCAGGTCATTAGCATGGCTCTGTGGAACCAACATGCATACTGAGTCCATTTGATTCAAGAACATGGACGGAGCTAAAAGTTACATCCAATTGGAACTTGAGGAGTGTAGTTTTAACAGAAACAGTAACATTTGATTAATATTTATGATGCTTTATTTTTTTATTGCATACATTCATTTAAGATGAAGATTTCTAATAGTAAAGCCAGAGTGAAACACAGGGGTAGCAATATGTGCAAGCAATGTTATTTGATCTCAATTTATACTTTAGGAGTTTAAACCTGTTACCGAAACATAGCAATTCAATACAATGAAGTGACTTTTAATAATGACTTGTTTCTCTCAGTTTTTTGCTTTATTAACTGTAGCATAGAGACAGTTTGTATCTACAGGTATTGTAGCTGAAGAAGGAGCAGGTCTGACCGTGCTGTAGGTCACCGCAGCATCATCATCAGTGCCATCATCAGCCCCATCCTAAAACAATATAAACTTCAGTCAATATTTTCAACACATAACAGCTTCTTTGATGCATCCAATGAATAATTAATTCCTTACCTGTACTTCCGGTTTGGTTTTCTTGATATGGCTGACAGAAGCATAGCAGAGATCCTCAGTATCATTCTGCAAAGTGAACACAACATAATGTTTCATATATATTT